CATTATGTGGTCTAATTCCTTCAAGTTATGTACTTCCTGTTACTATTTGTAGGACACACTAGATAAAGGAATCATACTGGGAACTCAGTAGCAAAAGCAGGACCAGTTGCTTAATTTATATGAAACACCCCCGCCAGAAAGAAGACTAAACAAGCCTCAAAGATTTCCAGCACAGTTTTCGTAAGCAGTCAGGTGGAACTGTTAGAGAAACTGATTGTGGTTGTTAAGTACCATCAAGTCAGTTCTGACTCATAGGGACCATGTATCAGGTTCCTGAGGCTGAGTCCTGATGTGGCACTATAGGGTAAGCTTTGGGATGTGATTCACAGCGTAAGGGATTCAAACCAACCAGCCGTTCCTTGGAAACCCTAGATAGGGTTGCTATGAGTCAGAACTACTCAATGGAATTTAATAACAACCACAACAAAATCTTAGCGGGATCAGAAAGCTTCATCTTTCTCCTGTGGAGCAGCTGGTGGTCTCAAACCTTGGTTTTCAAAGTCTGTGGCTTATCCTGCAGAGCCACAGTGCTCCCAAGAAATTGATTAGATTAAAAAAAAAAAAAAATGTTGCTATCAAGTCGATCTGACTTATGGTACCTTATGTGTGTCAGAGTAGAACTGTGATTCTCAGGGGTTTCAATGGCCGTTTTTTTTAGAAGAAGATTATCAGGCCTTTCTTCTGAGGTGTTTCTAAGTGGATTTGAACTTCCAACTTTTTGGTTAGCAATTGTGAATTACCATGACTTTGTGATTAGCAGACTAGTGCTTATATTACAGCGCCACATCAGGACTCATTCCTTTTGCCTTCGCTACTAATTAGACCAGCACCAGGATTCCCACTGGAAGAAAACAACTATTTGAAACTGGTGCTAGGAATTAATAATGTTTTATAAAGGATGTAGAATTCTCTGGAAAGTTTCTGTTTGTATTTTTAAGTATAATGTCAACATTAGCGTTACATTGCAGTCCTGAGGTGGTCTTCTAGTTGGGAACACAAGAAAGTTTATCATCTATTAGAACCAGTAGTCAAGACTCCTTGTGTGGTGCTGTAGGATTAGCATGGACTGCTAGCCACAAGGTCAGCAGTTCAAACCTGCTCCTTGGAAACCCTATACAGGGTCTTTATGAATCAGAACAGAATCGATGGCACTTAAAAACAGAACAAGAAGTCAGTGTAGCCAAAACATAAAGAGACAGCTATCCTAGTGTGGCACTGTGGGTCAATGTGCCAGACTGCAAAGCCGTTTGAACGGCAAGGTCGGTGGTTCAAGCTCATCAGCCGCTCGTCACTAACAGAGTCGCTATGGGTTAAAGCTGACTTGATAGCACTTAACAAGAACAACAATACACACAGCTGCAGCTCCAGAGCAACTCTCACTTACTGACCACTCAACATATACCAGGTGCTCTGCACTTGACATTTCACCTTTCACAGCAATGCAACAAGTAGGTATGTGCATATCCAGCTAATGTGAAGAAACAGGACTCAGTGAAACAACCGCCCAAGAGTACCATGAGGGAGAAGCAGTAAAACATGCCCTAGGACAGGCAGTAAAGGAAGGGAAGGGTGACTGGGCAGAGCCTGTGCTCCAGAGAACACCACCAAATCGCTGCTCATCAGCGTCTAGACAGAAAGTGGCTTTCAGTGAACTACTCTTCACCTCATGTGGAAAGCCAGGTTAAAATGATGATGAAATCAGTTGAGTTACAAAAAACAATCCAGTGGACATGAGGTCATCCATTCATTACTCTCGGGGAGTTTCAGGAATCTGTTATGTATCTATTTGCACCTGGGGGTTACAAATGGTTAACAGGCAGGATTGCTAGCCAATAGGTTAGAGGTTAAGGTCTACCAAGAGGAACCTTAGAAGAAAGGCCTGGTGATTTATGTCTCAAAAATCAGACATTGAACGCCATATGGAGCCCAGTTCTCCTTTGCCATACCTGGATTCTCAAGAGTTGAAATGGACTCATGCCAATTGTTTATTTATTTGTATTGTTATCAAGGGAGAGGGGAAAGACATTCTCCTGAAGAAAACATTCTCTCCTGTTACATCTTTGAATGCTAGGAGCGTTGGGATATGTTTATTTTTGATGAACAACATTAAAAAAAAATAATAACCAGGTGAAGAATGTTTCTGCATGGTCTGTGAAAACAGGGTTGAAGGCTTTATCTTGTATGGTGCCTGCTACTGCTTGTGTAAGATCCATAAGATATAAATTCCTTTGTAATTTAATACCAGGAAAATGTTTGTCTCTCTTGGAAGAGCAAGCAAATTTCCTTTAATCAGATAAGGAGGAGGATGTTGCTCCTATTTCCTTTTTCTCAGAAGCAAATAGTTGAATTCGGTATTCAGGACAGAAATTATATTAAATGGTTAGTACTCCTCCAGAGGAATATAATGTGAGCCACTAAGTAATTTAAAATGTTTTTGTAGCCACTTTGAAAAAGCAAAAAGGATCAGGTGAAGTTAATTTTATAATATAGTTTATTTAACTTAATGCATCCAAAAGTATTTTGGATTTCAACGTGTGATTCTTTTTAAATCCATAGAGGTCAAAATGAAAAGATATAAGGTATTTTCCACATTCTCCTTTTTTTCTGTCTTTGATGAAATCTTTTTCAGGTCTGGTATATATTTTACACTTAACAGAACATCTCAATTCCAGTTAGCTACATTTCAGAATCAGTCACCACATAGACTATTGTTGTTAACTGCTGTCAAGTTGGTTCTGATTCATAGCAACCCTGTGTAGGGTTTCCAAGGAGCAGCTGGTGGGTTTGAACTGCCAACCTTGTGGTTCACAGTCCAGTGCCTATCCTATAGCACCACACCAGGAGTCCATCCACATACACGAATGCTTTCCATATTAGACTACACAGGTGGCTGGTATCTACTCTGTGATTTTTGTTTATCTTCTACTGTTTCAGTAGACTTTCTTCTATATGCATGACTTCAATGATTTAAAAAAAAAAAAATAAAAAGCTCACCAAGCTAAAATTGACAACTGGTAGCGTCTATGATAAGTTACTTCAATAGTCTTTTGGAAGTTTGCAGAATTTGGCTTATAAATATATAAGTGTCTGGATAACCACATAAATATCACCAAGTCAGAAATTTTAGGCCTAGCTTGAAATGGCTGTTTTACTTTGGGTCAATATCAACCCCTGTAGCCTTCAGCTTCCTTCTTCAGTAAAATGACAAAATTCACCTCACTGACCTGTAAGGTAATCATAGTAAACTATGATTTTGTTGCTTCCGAGAATTCCACTGCTGTTTTCATTGTGCTTTTAAATTGAGCACATATGAAATCTCGTTCTACCATATGGATTTGAAAAATGCATCTTGACTTCCTATAACCTGGCATCAAAACCATAGTAACCAGAGGGACAGTGACAGAAAGGATGGTCCAGCCTGTCTGCGTCTGAGCTCACTGGCCTGGCAGCATGAATGCTCACAATTTCAGGGTGATTTCTCCGATTTGTAGTTAAAGGATTACATTTAGTTTGCAGTGCCATTATTGCAACTAAAGCCCTTAGAACTCTTATATGAGAAAGAGGATGATAATGCTTTCAAAGGAGCTTTGATTAACAGCACAATCCATTTCATCTATGATATTTAACAGTTATGATGATCATTAGATTGACTTCAACCATATTCTGTCCATGTGCTGACGAAGAAAAAAATAGAATAACTGGTGATAAGAGTCATTAATCTACTGTAGTTATGGGAAACTAAGTGCAGTGACGATTTAAAATGACTGAAAAGACCTCTCTCACCTCTGTGATTATATAATAAATTCATTAGAGTATGAGAACATAGTGAAATAGAAATAAACAGTATTTTTGCTGTTGCAAACTATAATTTTCTACATTATATACTTTTTAATATCATAAATGACATTTTATGTAAAAAAATGACATGAGTTGATGTTTGTAATGATTTTGGAACAATACCTCACATTGTGATGTATACTACCCATTGCTATCCAGCCGAATCTGACTGCTAGCGATTCTGTAGGATACTGTAGTACTGACCCCATAGGGTTTCCAAGGCTGTTATCTGTAGCGAGGCTGAATGCCACATCTTTTTTCCAGAGTACACTTAGTGAATTCGAACTGCTGACCTTTCAGTTAGCAACTGAGAGCTTAACCACTGTGCTGCCAGGGTGATGTTGGTATTCACTGAATAACTAAATTTAAAAATATGGTTAACAACAACAACAACAAAAAAAACCACCCTGAAGAAGGCAAAGACATTTTTTGCCCTAAGGGGACAACCACACAAGGAACAGTAACTGTATTTAACTTCCATTTCCTTATCATTAAACTAAACTAAATAAATTTAACACTGTTGGGTAGGGAACTTCATGCCGCAAGATACCATTTATTGTCCACAAGTTCATCCCATAAGCCTACAAAAGATGTTTGAAGAAACTGCAGAAATTCAAACTTAGAACAGTTCTCTCATAAAATTTGGGAAAGAAAATGAGCAAATTTGTTCAGGCAATGCAATCTCATTGTCTTTATAGTGTATGGATACTCAAAGTAGCACTTAAAGATTCCCCCTACCAAGGCCAGGGTACATGGGGCTATGGAAACACCTAGGTCTGGACACAGTTGAGTCTCCTGTGCAGAGCTTTTTGGGTTTCAGAAAGACACACCGAAGGTAGTTGAAACTTCTCTCTTCTGTAAGACAAAGTAACTCCTTAACTAGGTTCTGGGTATGTGACAAAATTTTATACGAGCCAAGTTGGCAGCTGTAATGTGAGAAGGGTTAGGACCCAAGGTAGGGACTTACTGTCTAGAATTTGGTTGACCAAAAAAATTCAGTCCACAAGCAAAAGTGATCTAAAGTAACTCAATAGCAGTAGAAATTAGAGAGAGCTGGATGGTGTATAAGCAATCATATCATCCAAAACATCAAAAACCCATGTAACAGACTCTCTCCCTTCACACTGTAAAGCAAACAAGTTTAAAACAACTCTTCAACTTACTTTTTCCTACTATCCTTTTTGGCAGTCTTTTCCAAGGCTGCCCTCCTCCGCAAGTAGTCATTCTGAATTTCATTATATTTTGTAGTGTGTTCTTTGATAAGGTCAGTGGTCTTCTTGTGATGTCTCTTAACGAGGTCTTTCATTTCTTTGTAGTGCTTCTTTTGAAGTTTCACAAATGCCTTCTGTTGCTTGAGTTCTTCAATAGTCTGAGCTTCCACTTCTGCAACAAATGATTATAAGAGCTTATAGACATGGAAGGACGTAAAACATCGATGCACAGAGGCGCAGTTACCCACTTGTGATCATGCGTCTGAGAGGGCGGGTCAACAGGTGTTTAAAAGCACGGTTCTGATGGCAAACATTTCTGAGTTCCAGTCTGGCTCTTCTACATGCTAACTCTGCGACCAAGTTATTGAACTTTTCAAAGCTTTTCCAATTTTCTTATTTGTGATTTAGTTTTATGATTATTTTTTAATTTGAGTTCCTAGAAGCAGAGCTCAAGATGGAGATTCATTTGCATTTACTGAAGGGGTCTTTCAGGAGAAGGAAAATCAAGGAAGTAGAAAACTCAGCCAGTTCCCTTAGGGACCTGGAGTATGACTTTTCCCACATAGTTGGTCTCACCCTGAGGCAAGGAGGATTGGGACAGTCGGTGAGGGAGACTTCCTGGATGAGGAGGACTTCCATTTGTCTGAGGGAAACTCTTCTCAAAAGGGGGACATTGTTAGCTGTTAGCATCCAACACTCTACCGAAGCTACCGGATAGGTATATCAGGCAGAGAAGGGGGTTCTGGGGAAAGGACACTGACAACATCCATTAAAAGTAAAATAATACTTGCGCTGTTTTATAGGATTGTCATGCTGGTGAAATGAAAAGAACTCATTTAACTATTTAGCACAAGTTCTGGGGCAGTGCCTGCAGAGGCTTAACAAGAGAGTGTACACTTCTCCAGCACCATCACTAGGGGACGCCACCCAGGTATAAATGATGTTGTTGTTGTTGTTAAGTACCGTGGAGTCAGTTCCAACTCATAGTGACCCTGCACAGGGTTTCCAAGGCTGTAAATCTTTATGGGAGCAGAAAGCCTCATCTTTCATCCATGGAACGGCTGGTATTTTCGAACTGCTGACCTTGAGGTTAGTAGCATGATTCGTAACCACTACGCTACCAGAGCTCCTGATAAATGATGTAGATGGTAGACTTTAAGACTGCAGTGTGTTCCACCAAATAGCACTGAAGGGTCTTGAGGGAAAAATCTCTTCATCTATTTGTGTTAATTCACCATAAGGGTTATTTATGCCAACGCTAAGAAAAGTTTAATGTCACAGAGCCTGACCTTAAAAAATTCTGTATTTTTACTGACATATTTCATCAGTTCTAGTTTACGCATGTTTTTTTAAATATGTTAATGTTTCTAAAATAAAAATGCATTTTATAGTCAACAGAAATGTTAGAAGTTGTCAGTCATGTTTTCTTTCTTAGCAATATGTTAACAGTGGGGTGCCTTACAATGGGTGGTATCTTAGCCTCAGTGAATTATCATTTACTTGGACCTAGCTTAAGTCATCACAAGGTTGGAAGTCCAAACTCACCAGTCGCTCTTTGGAAACCCTATATTATGTCACTATGAGTTGGAACCGACTCAACAGCACTTACCAACAACAGCAACAGCTTAAGTCATAGTTCATATGCTGTCATCCTTGGATTTGGACGTGCAAATGTTACCAGAAATACTTAGAACTGTTAAGAGATTCCTAAGTTACATATGGCATGAACAACAACAGACCTAAAAGAATGATGGGATATCTCATGGATAAGCATAGACGTCAGATGAATAATTTATGTTCCTAAATGTCAAAATCTTTAGACACTTGAGATATGCTACCCTTTTCTTACTTTCTTCTCCTTCTTTTTTTTAACAGTGCCTATTCTCCTGATGGAGTCCCGGTGTGGCGCTGTGGGTTAACGCACCAGACTACAAAACCGTTTGAACAGCAAGGACGGTGGTTTGAGCTCACTAGAGGTTGCTTGGAAACAATATACAGGGTTGCCATGGGTCGGAACTGACTCGATGGCACTTAACAACAACAACAACATTCTCCTGATATTTTATTTCTTTTGGAAAGGAGGTTGGGGAGAGAATCAGCTACATTCTCTTATTGGCTTCCCTCATTACGATTGCATAATGATATATTAAAATTTTATGATCCTAAGGAATTGCTGCATTTTTGGTGATCAAGTCAGCTCTACTTTAAAAATGATTTGCAACACAAAAACCACGGGGAGTTTATCAATAGGGACAAGATGTTTGAAACTATGATTAGAAATCTGTGGTCAATAGGCTAGATAGAATAAGCTCTTAGGTATAAAAGTCATGTCCGTTTATTAAAGAGAAAAATAAAGCCCATGAACTAACCAACCATTCAGAGAAAGCCACTGCTAACACACTGGCATACAGCCATTGTATTTAGCCTATATATCTGCATACTTTTAAGTAACACTGAAATTATGCTCTATGTAAACTTCTTTCTTTTGCTTTTTCATTATCCTGGAATTGTGTTGCCCATGGAACGAAATCTTTCAAAACATGTTTTTCCTTTAAGTACATTCAAGTATTTTTTCTATGCATGTTTACTTAGACTTTTTGGTGAAATACACATACATTGCATAAATGACAAAAATTATAAATGCTCAATCTTATAAGTGTTCACAAAATGGACATGGTACAATAGCTATCACTCAGATCAAAATCAAAAGACTATCAGCATACCAGAAACCCTCGTGGTTTTTGTGGGTTTTATTCATGCTGTTGTGTATGATTGTTACTTATTTACTCCTATAGCTGTATACTACTCTATTGCATGACTTTACCATGATTTATTTATCTTACACTTCTTTATTTCTTTCTCTCTTTCTCTAACTTGCTCTTAATGGACATACTGTTAACAGTATGGGGCTCATTTTTAATAATTTGGTACACATGTGTATACATTTTTGTTGCGTACTGCTGTTTCTTTTAAGACTACAATGCCAACAGGACTCCTTAAAGCTAGAATGTTGTTGTGGCTAAATACTGTTACATCAATTCCTACTCATAGTGACCCTGTATAGGGTTTCCAAGGAGCGGTTGGAAGGTTTGAACTATTGACTTTATGGTTAGCAGCCCAGTGCTGCTCTTACAGGGTCATACCAGGATTGTTAAAACTTGAATTGCTGTTGGTAAGTGCTGCCGAGTTGGTTCTGATCCATAGTGACCCTGCATAGGGTTTCCAAGGAGTAGCTGGTGAGCTTGAACCTTTGACCTTGCAATTCAAATAGACTTTGCAGTCCAGTGCATTAGCCCACAATGCCACACATGTGCTAACTGGATTAAAGAAAGTTTGTACCAATTTCAGGCCTACTGGTTTATGTAAGACTCCTGGTGTGTCACTGTAGGATCAGCAATGAACTATGAACCACAAGGTTGGCAGTTCAAACCCACTATCCGCTCCTCAGAAACCCTATACAGGGGTCACTATGTGGTGGAACTGACTTAATGGCACTTAACAACAAAAACGAAGTTTACGTAGGCGTCTTGGTGTGGTCCTATAGGATAAGCACTGGATTTCTAACAGCAAGGTCAGTGGTTCAAACCCACCAACCACTCCTTGAAAACCCCATACAGGGGTACTATGAGTCAGAACTAATTGGATGGTACTTAAAACAACAGTTTATGGAACAAACGAAATATAAAATATTTCCAAACAGAATCACAGTTTTTAAGACCCATGAATCATATTCTGCATATATGAAATAGACTTTATTGTCAGCACAGGAAAACTCGTGTACCTCACTGCTATCCATGCTTTTGGTATGAAACCAATATTTTTAAAAAAAATAGATATCTTGTGAAATTATATTTTTATCTTGGTAGGGTCCTGTCTACCAACTAATGTTCCCTAAATCCATTGCCGTTGAGTTGATTTTGACTCGTAGTCTATGGAACTGAGTAAAGAACTACCTCATAGAGTTTCTAAGGCTATAATCTTTAAGGAAGAAGACTGCTGGTGGGTTTGAACTCTCAACCTTCCAGTTAGCAGTCTAGCAATTTACCATTGTGCCATCAGGGTTCCTAGCCAGAAAGGCTGTTGTTGTTAAGTTGGTTCTGACTCATAACAAATCTCTGTAGAATTTCTTAGGAGCTGCTGGTGGATTTGAACCGCCAACACTGTGTTTCAAACCGACTTTAGGATCCAGTGCTTATCCTACGGCACCATACCAGCATCAGGACCAAGTAAGTTTGCTACTGCTGCTGTGTGTCGTGGAGTCGGTTCCGATTCATAGCGACCCTGTACAGGGTATCTGAGGCTGTAAATCTTTGCGGGAGCAGAAAGCCTCATCTTTCTCCCCCGGAACAGCTGGTAGTTTCGAACTGCTGACCTTGCGGTTCGCAGCCCGATCTGAAACCACTATGCTACCAGAGCTCCTTAGAGTATGTTTACATCTCTGTAATTATATCATATTGTAATGCTACAGGATAAGCACTGGAGTACTAACCACAAGGTTAGTGCATCAAACCCACGAGCTGCTCCTCAGGAACCCTATACAGGGTCACTGTGAATTGGAACAGACTCAATGGCACTCAGCAACAACTCAGCCTAAACTAGGATTAAATATTTGTAGCTTTTAAAGGAGATAAACAGAAATCTTCTCTCAAGACTTTAGCTACATGACACTCAGCTGCATCTTTTCACAGGGAACGGCAGTACTTACCTGTTAGAACGCTCTGGATAAGATCCTCTGTTTTGGCAGGTGCCTTTACAGAACCTGAAATAAAAAGACAAGGCAAATATCCTTCTTTAACATCTATTAAAGCTGAATTCCTCCTGTAAAAACAATATTTGAGCTTTGAGTCAAAATCTCTTTATGAATAAATTACACATTGTGGCAGAGAAATAGTCTTTTAAAAGATCCCAGAAGGTTTTAACTTTTTCCTAATCATGTGAGAGTATATGCTTTGTATCTAGGCAGAGAGAGTAGTTCCTAAATTTAGGATTGAAATGCCTGAGTTTAATACATTCAATCTACGTGACGCTACTGACACCTCCTGGTCAAATCAGGAATGACAAGTAATCTTTATTTAAAAAAAAAAAAAAAAAAAGGTCTGATTGCGTTTTAAGTAGACCACCTACACAGCAAATCAGCCACTTCAGCGAATCCATTCTGATTCATGGATTCACGGTGATACTAGATACGGTTTCCAAGTCTGTACATTTTTATGGGAGTAGACAGCATAGCAAGTTAGGTTCCCCTTTAACAATTTTAATAAAAATTGTTATGTGACATTGGTTACAATTGGTACCATGTGTTAGCATGCTCATTATTTCCACTCTGTTTGTTCTGTTTCCATTGATTGTTGTTGTTGTTGTTAAGTGCCTTCGAGTCGGTTCCGACCCATGGCGACCCTGTACAGGGTTTCCGAGGGTGTAAATCCTTACAGGAGTAGAAAGCCTCATCTTTCTCCCACGGAGCAGCTGGTAGTTTTGAACTGCTGACCTTATGGTTCGCAGCCCAATTCGTAACCATTACGCTACCAGAGATTAAGCTTCCCTAAATTTTCTTGCCTTCTCATCTTTGATTTGCTTTTTGTTAAACCTTTGTCCCACATAGTTAACTGTGTAAGGGAGCACATTACCTAAGGGTGATACTGTTTATTTTATAAGCCATCTATGATTTGGCTGAAAAGTGACCTGTAGAAAGAACTTCAATTCCAAGTTCAAAGGATATTTTAGGGTGACTGTTTCTGGGGTTCCCGTAGTCTCTATTGTTCCCAGTAAATCCGGGGTTTTTAATGAATTTGAGGCTAGTTCTACATTTTTTTCCCCCATTCTATCCAAGATCTTTTACTGTGTCCCTGGTCAAGATTAGTTGTAGCGGCTAGCACTATTTAGCTCTAGTTCAGATTAGAAGAGACTGTCATATGTGTGAGTCGCTCCTTGGAAACCCTATACAGGGTTGCTATGAGTCGGAACCGACTTGAGGGCACTTAACAACAATAACAATTTGTCATGTGGACTCGTTTCTTTGAGCCTTTGATTTCTTCATTTCCTTTTGGTCCTTGTGAGTAGAGGTCAATAGCTAATCTTAGATGTCCACTTGCAATCTTTTACAACCCAAGATGGTATTCATCAAACCTGGATGTAGAACATGATTTTCGTGAATTTTGGTGCACCAATCAACTAAGTTGCCCCCTGACACTATGGTGGTCTCAAGCCATGTTGTCCAGGAAACCAATGCCAGTAACTGTTGGGACATATTTAGGCACCTGAGAAATTGTACCCACTGTATGGCACTATAGGATCAGCATTGGACTGTGAACCACAAGGTCGGCAGTTGAAACCCACCAGCTGCTCCTCAGAAACCCTAACCAGGGTCGCTATGAGTCGAAAATGACTCGACAGCACTTAACAACATGTGATTTGTTGCAAGTAGTCTTTTAAAATTCAATTGTGGATTGAGTCTCTGTAGAGAGGAAGCCAAGACTTCAGCTTGGAGACCTCATCAGTAAAGTCCAACTGCTAGAAGAGAACATCATGCTTCATGAAGTATTGGGCCAAAAAAAAACAATGGAACCACTCACTGAGTTGAATCAACACAATATGCACAACAGTGGACTCAAACATACAACAGATGGTGCCGGACCAGGTGATGTTTCATTCTGCTACCAGAAGGTCATCATGAGCTGGAACAGATTTAATGGCTACTAACAACATCAACATGAGGTCCAAATGAGACAGCCCCGCGAAGGGCTTAGCATAGTACCTGACAATGGTAGATGTTCAATGTTATTAAAAAGGAAGTTGGAGTGAGAGGAAAAGGAATTTCAGGCAGGGTCTTATCTCATGAAGAGAGACTGGGCTAAGAAAGGGCTTCTAAAACACTGAGGCTTGCAAATTGCTTGAACAACTCCTCATAACCCATCATTATTAAACAAAAACATAGGAAGCCCAGGTGAATTTGTGTGTGGCTGCAAGAGTTTCAGAAAAGCCAGACGTGCATTTATATGTTTCTCTTGTCATTAGTTAATTCATTCACTTATTAGTTCATTCCTCATTTATGGGTATCTCCTAGGTCCATGAGTCCCTCCTTACTTGATTGATGGTTTTGCCAACCAAATTCTGCTGCTTCCTTCACTGGTACGGATTAAATGGAGACTCATTGTCATGGTGTACAGCTGTCTTCTCATACTGCTTACCTGGAGCTGGCTGGCTATGGATAGCTTGGGAGGGTGGTTTGGGTGCAAGCGATGTAGTATGGTTCACTCCGTTTTCTGCTGGAGTTGTCCTGGCTTCACTCGGGGCCTCTGATGGTGTTTCCCCAGGATCAGCCTAAAATCATAAGACATAATTTCAGCTTCTACATTCCTCATTATTCTTTTATTGCCTTCTTAAACCAACAAAGGAACTTTGGCAGCTTAGTGGGTTACGAGTTGGGCTGCTAATCACAACGTAAGCAGTTGGAATCTTCCAGCTCCTCCCTGGGGGAAAGATGAGGCTTTCTGCTCCTATAAAGATTTACAGCTATGAGTCGGAACCATCTCCATAACATATAACAACCTCCACCACCAAACCAACATGGATATATTTTATAGTATTTTACAATTCCTTTGGAGTCTGAACTTTCAAATTTGAAACTAGCTGGAAAGCAGGGTAGAGACAGTCTGATGTTGTATGATGATTGTGGAAAGGTAACTTCATGGAATGCCGGGTTTTATGCCTGTGTATATCCATGACCTTTGGTAGTATCCTCCCCTATATTTTGGACCTGACCACATGATTTTCTTTGGGAAAACGAGAGAGTAGCAAACTTGAAGCAAGCAGATGCTTGATAAAAACTTTTGAATTTCTTCTCTTTGTCTCTGACCCCCTATTAGAGCCTTGGAGGATGACAAACCTTGTGAAGACAAGTTGAGTTACCCTAGTCTAAGTCATGTTAGACCGAACACAGATAGATGAGTAAGCCCAGTCAAGATCAACTGAGACTTGTGTAAATCAGCTGGCTGCCCAGCTGAGCCAAAACAAAAACAAAAACAAAAACAAAAAAACAAACCAAATAGTTGAAATTGCAAACTACTAAGTTTGGGGGAGTTGTTCTCTAACAAGAGTTCCTTCATGCAGTAGTTAAGAGCATAGATTCTGGATCCAAACTTGCCTGGGTTCAAATCCTAGCCCTACCTGGTTAGTGTGTGCCATTGAGTTGATTCTGACTCATAGCTACCCTATAGGACAGGCTTGTTGTTGGTGTTAAATGCTGCTGAGTGGGTTCTGAGTCACAGCGACCCTGTATAGGGTGTCTGATGAGCAATTGGTGGGTTTGAACCACTGACCTTTTTTGGCTAGTAGCCCAGTGTTTATTCTATAGCGCCAAACCAGGACTCTATAAAACAGAGTACAACTACCTAAAGTGTTTCCTAGACTAGACTATGACTGTAAACTTTGTGGGACAAGAAGGCCATGTCTTTTCTCCCACTGGGTGGCTGGTGGGTTTGAACTGCTGGCCTTTTGGCTAGCAAGTGGGTACATAGCCATTGAAGCACCAGGGTTCATTCCTGCTGGTGTAATATTGGACAAGTTGCTTGGTGTTGGTTACTTCGGTGTCTTCATCTTCATTCTATTCAGATAAGAATATGTACCTACTAAGTGTGGCACTGCAGTTAGAAACTACCAGCGGTTCCGTGGGAGAAAGATGAGGCTTTCTGCTCCCGTAAAGATTTACAGCTTCGGAAACCCTGTGCAGGGTCGTTATGAGTCGGAACCGACTCCACGGCACATAGCAACAACAAAAGTGTGGCACTGTGGGTTAATGTGCCAGACTGCAAAGCCATTTGAACTGCAAGGTCGGTGGTTCAAGCTCACCAGCGGCTCCTCAGAAAACTTACACGGGATCGTTATGGGTTGGAATCGCCTTAATGTCACTTCACAACAACAAAGGAGCCTAGGTGGTACAATTTAGGATAAGCCCTGGCCCACTGTTATTGTTGTTGTTGTGAAGTGCTGTCGAGTCAGTTCTGACCCACAGTGACCTTACATAGGGTTTCTGATGAGTGGATGGTGAGCTTGAACCACCGACTGCAGTTCAAACTGACTTTGCAGTCTAGTGCATTCTCACCCACAGCGTCACTACTAGGTCCACAGCCTGGACCACTAGGTTGATTTGAATCACAGATAGGTGTTTCTGCTGATCCGTGGTAGAAAGATGAGGCTTTCTGCTCTTATAAAGACTTACAGCCTCAGATACCCTACACAGGGTTGCTATGAGTCAGAACCAACTCCACAGCACACAGTTACCATCAACAACCAACAACACCACAACAGAAATCAAAGGAGCCCTGGTGGCATAGTGCAGTAAGCATCGAGCTGCTAACCAAGTGTTTGTGATTGTAACCCACCAGCTTCTTTTTGGGAGAAAGATGCGATTTTTGGCTCCAGCAGAGATTTATAGCCTTGGAAACCACATTTAGGGTCACTATGAGTCAGAACTGACTGTACAGTACACAAGGGATCACACTATTTTCTATTGTGTGAATTCATCTAGAGGATTAGATAAATCAATAAGCATTTATAAAGTTCTTAGAACAGTTTCTGGCACACAGTAAATCCAAAATTTGTGTTAAATAAATCATGAAATAAAATGAATTAATGTCACCCAATACTGCCAGTGAATAATAGTAAATGCAATATAAGTGCATTACAGCTTGTGAAATCTTTACCCCACCTCTCTAGTTCAGGTGGTTGTATGACACTGAGTCAGTTCAGACTCCTAGTGACCCTGGAGAGTTGAACTGCCGACCTTGCGGTTCACAGTTCAGCTCAGAATTCACTGTGTTCCCAGAGCTCCTTTCTCCAATGCTAGTGCCTTTGCTATTACGTCCTGTTTTAATGATGCCTTTTCAGTACTCATAACATTTTGTAATTCTTATTTTTAGAATTGCCTCTTTAGTCTACAGCAAGTTTCCTGACAGAGGGGTGTATATTTTGTAGCACATTAAAAACAAACAAACAATAAAATAGGAAATACTCAGAATATATTTGAAACCCAAGTGTGGTGACATTTTGCCATATGATAACAGATAGCAGATTTTGTGTGATAGCATTTTTAATAAAAGTTATAATGGTAGTGGTAGTCAGTTCCAACTCATAGCGACCCTGTACAGGGTTTCTGAGGCTGTAGATCTTTAGAGGAGCAAAAAGCCTCATCTTTCTCCTTCACAGCAGCTGATAGTTTCGAACTGCTGACCTTGAGGTTAGCAGCGCGACTCCTAACCACTAAATTGCCAGAGGTCTTTAAAAGTGACAATAAGAATAAAATAATATCACTATTTGTGTAGGCATGTTTTTGGTACCATTCAGGGAATGTCAGATTCTTCTCAATGTGGTAACTGATGGAAATTAACCTTCTGAAGAAAGGCAGGAAAAGGGAACATTTTAATAGCGACAATGGAGGTGATTGGAACCCAGCTTCCATGATGGTGCTAATGAATGGCATCTTTTTGGTAATTTGCATTAGTATCTTGAAGTTAGGGAAAGGTGGATTCCAGATGAACGCAGCAATCTTATTTTCACTTTGTATGGTATTTACAGACATTCCCTGAGTGTACACTTTTTCGAAAAACGAAGTTCATCTGCTGATTGTGTCAAACTCAGAGAAGGAAATAAATCTCTATTTCTCAAGGACACATAAAACAAGAAGCCCCTATTTGCCTGAAACTAACACAATAGCTGTAAATACAGTGAGATTTAAAAGAAAAGTAAACACATGTTGAGCCAACATATAGTTATAGTTAGTTACAGCTGTGGATTGCAGCCAAGGGCTGGTTCTGAACGTTGAAGTAGGTTTGGAAGCAATGTCTAGTTCAGCCAGCACTCACACACTCAAATGTTTCCAAGCAAGGTGGGCTGCATTGCACAACCCCAAGCCCCAAATTCACTGCCCTTGAGTCGATTGTGACTCATAACAACCCTGTATAGGATGTCCAAGACTGTAAATCTTTAGAGCAGAGAGTTTTAATTTTTTCCTGAAGAGCAGCTGGTGGGTCTGGAGAGCAACCTTGCTGTTAGAGGTCCAACATGTCACTCACAGCACCAGCAGGATTCCTTTATACACCCAGGTAAGGCTGTTCACACTGTACATTTACAGGCAGTTAAATGGGTGATGGACAAGGCTGTGTCCAGAGCTAGAGGGGCAGCTCCTGGGAAGCGGGCAGCAGCCCCTCAGTTTCAGCCCATTGCGGTTGCTCAGACTTCAAGAAAAACTGGAAAATAACGATTCAGGGGATCTCTCCTAGTTTTAAACTGGCCAAACAAAACACATTTCAGACTGCATTCTAGAGTTCCAGAGTTTGCATGGATTTCTGGAATAATAAAGAAGGGAAAGGGGTGAGTTGGCTAGGGGCCAACTAGTCTGCAGTCTGACCTCCTCACCTTCGTACGGCTGTAGCTGGAGAATTGCAAGAAGAGGGCGCATAAGGAGTACTCTGAATATTGGACTAAAGATTTGGGGGTACTTATGCAATTTGACAATATCCCCAGACTGTTGGATTTTTTGGAGTCCTGGTGGTGTAGTGGGTTAAGTGTTGGGTTTCTAATCACAAGTTTGGTGGTTCAAACCCACCAGCTGCTCTGTGAAAGAAAGATGACACTGTCTGCTCTCATGAAGTTTTACAGTCTTGAAAAGCATAAAGGACAGTAATACTACTCTGTCCTTAGGGTTGCTGTGCATCAGAACTGATTCAATGGCAATGACTTTAGATTTTCTAGAAACCAATTTCATAGATCACATTAGTGAAAATCTATAATAACAAAAATACTAGACTGATATTTCAATATTTTTGTTACCTAAGGGTATATGTACAAATTTTAACTGACAACATCCCCCTAGTTGAGATTTAGAATAGAAGCAGCTATAAAACACCACCCTGCTATTCAAACCATCTTCATTCATCACAATGAGTCAAGGTGGACAGTGCTCTTGGCTCCCTAAGAAATCAGAGATGTTATTAGAAGCCAAGCAACTAGCCAGAGGTCCCACCATTAAGAGCAGAACTGTTATTTGAATATGTGTTAGAGCTCAAAGTGTGAGTGTGTCCTACTGTACTAACTAGCCAGTTGTTGTCAAGTCCATTCAAGTGCCCATCCTTGTATACTATGATATGAACTCATGACAATCTCATGCATACCAGTGTGGCTCTGAAAGGATGAGCACTGGACTGCTAATCACAAGGTCAGCAGTTCATACCCACCAGCCACTCCTTGGGAACCCTATAGAGGGTTGCTAGGAGTTGGAACTGATTCTATAGCACATGACAACAATGATAAGAGAAGAGTAAGGA